GGGCTGTTACCCACACGATGTTACATCTTTGTTAAAGGCAGACCTGATGTTCCCACAGTAAAGAGGCTCTGCCAGACGAGAGGAAGTAGAAGAAATTCACTTAAATAAGACTTTTGTCTTTTAATACAAATCTTTTATTTGCGTCTGTGTCTTACCTCTCTGATCCTCCCTAATAAAGCCGTGGGCAGTTTTCTCCTCCATTACCCGAGCCCTGCTGAGGCTTCGTTTCAGTTGTATGTTGTATGCCAAGCAGCTTGGTGCCAGGCCAGACTCTCGCTGCCAATTCAGCCTCCATCCTGCAGACTGCTCAACAATGCAATGCGCCACTCACCTCTGACCAGACCACCTCCCAGTTCAATCACAATGCATATCCCACGGCAGTCATAAGTGAAATAAGAAGCGATTGTAAATTGGCCGTAGGTGTAAACGTGGCTGCGAATGATTGTCTCTCTGTGCGGCAGACTGGTGTTAAACAAGTGTGCAGCTGCTGCGCAGCATCTTGGGTCCAGCTCCAAATGCAAACCCATGTCATGGAAATGCAGTGCAGTACCGTGAAGTTTCAAGCTTCAAGGATAAAGCCTTTACATTTCTGATGGTACAACCCCAAACTGTGAAAAGCTGGGAGAGCCTACATTTGTGGATGGCTCAAAATGATTAGCTCACCAAATGATTTCCTTCTACTTCCTCAGAGCTTCTTTGCTGCATGTACCGAGGAGCCAGAGATCAGTGTCATTGTAGCGCAACAATCTGCAGTTCTCACTTTGAACTATGCCGATTTCCAACCACAGAGGTTTCTTCAGATTTCCAAATTTTTAGAATTGTAGCTTTACAGCAGGACAAGTTGTTAATAGAGGAAATCAAGTGTTTCTCAAACATCTGCTCAGCACATTCAGCCACACTGGATATGAACTCTCTGGACTAATAATTAAAGGAGCTGACCTGCAGTCATAAACCAGGCTCCACAGAGGATAGACCCGGTTCTCTTTGCCAGTGTTGGACTATAATGTGTTACTTAAAGTAAAATCACAGAACGCCACTTAATAAGCATGCTCGTGCTCCTCGTGGGATGAACGCTGTTAATTTGCTATTAAATGTATGTCAGCATCTGATATAAGAGACATGTATTTACAGGCACAGCTGTGCAGACTACAGGAGGAAGAAAAGAGGAAGAACCCAGCTGATCGTGATGACCCAGTTACCTCTGCTGTCACGCCGCTCACACGGGTGGAGATTTGGTGATTGAAGTACAACCTTCGTGTTTGTCTGACTATAATGAATGCTGCAGTCTCTTGGGAACACGATCGCTGATTTACAGTACGATATGAAGAATCCACAGAAGGACCCAGATTCGATAATACTGCTGTCAGTCAGGGAAGGTCAGCACAGCCTAAAGTCATTGCAGAGTAACCTGATTTTGCTTATTCCTTTGCCACGTCTCTCGTTGTGTTAGATGGCTCGTTGGGCCTGAGATACATCTGAGAACCCATCTTCCCATGTCCATTTCCCATCCCCTAGGAAGACCTCCGTTTGCTGAGGAAATATTTGAGGAGTGTCCATTACTGAAGCTGTTATGAAAGTCATTTAACCGACAAGTAAGTTGCAGTCAGCTCGAGTCTGAGAGGGCGGCTGGCCAGCGAGATGATGAGGTCACTTTGAACAGCGACTAAGGAGGTTGGCTCGGAGCAGGAACGAGCACAGCTCTGGACAAACAAAAGCCTGTGCCACTACTTTTGTAGTGAGCTGAGCGTAAACACATTTCATAATCAAATGCGCACTCGCCCAGCCCACATGGACACTGGCTCATTTTTACTGCATGTTTGCATTTGTTTACGATGGATCCAGCCACAGTGCAGGCCAGCGAGCACGCAGTAACCAAGAAAGCGATCGCTCGTTAGCTTCTTTGTTCCTGTCTCACCTTTTTATCTGTCTGTGGTTTTCCTGCTCCCCGTGCTCTCACTCCTTTCTCTCCCACTCTGCAGCAGCATAATGTCTGCCGCTCTCACCCCTCCGCTGCCGCCCGCGTCACTTCCCTTTCTGATCGGCTGTCATGTAAACACAAGCATGCCCCTGCTCAAAGGCATGCTCTTACATACAGGCTCAAACACACACGCACACATCACTGAGTCACATGGGAGCTGCTAATTATGACCACATAAAGCCAGCGGAAACACAACTTTCACAGCTGGCTGTGTGAGCTGCTCTCACACTGTAGCTCATTGTTCACAGGAAAAAAACATACACCGTTTACTTCAGATCACAACAAAGGGAAAACACATTTCTCAGATTAGCCTCTGATGCTGGGGATCCAAGTAGCACAGACTGCTGTAGCAGCAAAGAGACTCAGTGGACGGTGCAGTTGAACAAATCGGCTTCTGCGCTGACCATTTACACAAGCTAGCAGAAGAAAGGATGAAAACAACACATGTATTCAAATGAAACAGAGCTATTTGTTGAGACAAGGCGAGCACAAACATCTGACAGACGTCAGGCACAGTCTGTGACGCAGATTGGAAAGTCTGTCTTCAGTCAGCACGTGTATGCACCCACAAAAACAGTCACAGATAAACAGGAACCCACAGTAACAGGGAGGCCATGCTATCGCCGCTGAACACCACTGACACACTCCAGCCATTTCCAGCATGCGGCTAATCCCAGTTCAAATTCACTTTGCCAAGTAATGCTCTCGAGGGCGGAAATAACAGCTTAGAGCTGCGAAAGTTTGCTTCAAAAGGATGATGGATTTGTTCTCGTGTTCTAAAAAGGCCAAACACAGCAGGATTAATGCGGTTAATGGTTAATGCTGTGGGATTATTGCAAATTTCATTACTATACAACTACTGGAGGACAGCAGAGGTCACGTTTTACAATGCTTATACTTGTCAGGGCGCAGATGCTGTTTATCGGGAAGCCGACCATTCCTCCAGTCAAACAAACAGAATTTGGTTGGTTTCATTTGAACTTGAAAGAAATGATGCAGTGGCAGATGCACGAATCACAGCTGATGCAGTCCCGTAAGTTTGTACTGGAGCAGGACCTGCAGTACCAAATTATTAGTGAACTTGATGTAATTCGAACAGAGGAAACATGATGTCAGAGCTTTGTTATTGGTTGGCTGTGCACTACAGAATCACTGTGTTACTGTTATGTAATGTCTGCCCTGGATAGCAAAGCTCAGGCCACATGCTCCACAGTACAACACTGTGATACAAACGTTAATGACAGGTGTAAGCGGGGAATCCCGTCACAGCCTTAAAGGTTTGCTTTGTGAAAGTGGCTCGTTGCAAGTGAATTTGATTGTTCGCCGACCTCTAGCAATGCATCGTAACAGCATACTGCACCCATCCTCCAGCGGACGTGATAATTGTGACAGGAACAAAGAAGGAAATCAAATATTGTCTTACGAAGCCACAGAAGCAGCAGAGGGACGATGGATGGACAGAACGCTGGACTTTAACACAGCACACTTTAGCTCACTTCCTTGAAGCAGAACCAAGTTTATCTTATTGGACTTTTTTAACAAAATAAATTATTAGCTAGCGCTGTCACATCATAAAGAAAGAGTTTTCCTTATCTCCTCTGGGTTGTACTGAAGCATGTTGTTAGAATTACTGCAGTCAGTGTTTGAAAAGTTAAAAACTCTTTTGCACTCATTCTGTGTTTTACATTCTTGAATTAAACACCATCTGTAACTTGTTTCATTCTTTTTCACTATAAACAAAGAGAAACAGTGGACACACAGGCAGCGTTGCCAACCTGACTTTTTGTTCCAGCCACACTGTCCACAACTTCAAATACAGACTGCTGGTGTTATCAGTCTTTAGTTTCCTGCCAGTCGACTAATTTGGTCATTTCCTAATAAAAATATTTCAGCTCTTCTTCGGTGCTACAGTAACAAATAGTTTTAATAACTTGCTACTTCTTCTGTATCATTATTATATCAAACGAGTAAGAAATGGAAGAATCTGATTATTTTAGACACTACAGTCTGGAATAAGTCGTGATATTATAAAGAGTTTACATACGTCTTTAGGGGTTTTCTTGTCTGCTCTGCTGATCGGATCTGGACAGCCTTTTGTATCAGCTGCTTCTTGGAACACTTGGAGAGCCTCTCGCATTAAAATATTGAAGTACTTCCCCTTTCTGGGTGAGACGGCGGCCAAAATAGGACGCTCTTTGAACTGTGTGTGTCATATACACAATGATGTGACTGCCCAGTTATGAATCAGCAAAACGCTGGATGGTGTGTGTGTCTGAGGGACAGGGAATGTGTGTGTTTGCGCAATAACCAGAGCAGCAGGCAGGTGTTTTCTTGTTTTCCTCACCAGTCAGTATTGACACAATGAAGCGCTGACGGCACCTCGCAGGCATCCCGCAGGGAAATTGGGTGGCTTTATTAAACACATAGGACCGCTGCTTTAAAGCGACGCTCTCGTAAATGAGCACCGGAGCCAGAAAACCAGCACAGCCAGTTTAACACTCGGAGTTTACAGAATGTCATCCTTTTGGGCACATCTCAATGTTAAGTTGGAGAACTGTCAAACACTGCGAGCCCTCATTAAACGGTGAAACATACAAATAACCCATCTCGCTGTAAAAGCCGCACAAAATCACCACTGACAACTTCACTTGCTCTTGGCACCTCGACTCAGAGGCGCGGGATGTTTCCAGTCCAACATGCTCAACGTGAAAACGCGTTCTCAAAGCACCGGAGTCGAACCCTTATGCCCACTTGTTTACTTCAACTTCAATTTCTATGTGCGCAACACCACCTGGAATGCGGACACTGGCAAACACGCACATGGCCCGTGATCAAGACTCCCCTGCAGGGTGATTGCGCTTTCTTCAACAAACGCACTATTCCAAAAGCCCAGAGATGCGGGTCCTCACTAGGGTACAGCAGCCTGGCTACCAGGCACAACTCAAGCGCGAAAACGCACCTGCGGCAGCAACCCGGAGCCGATCCCCACACCAGCCGAGCTATTAGAAATAAGTTCACTCACACCGAAGGGCGCTCCTCCTTTGCTCCGGGACTGTGCGAAATACGCGCACAGGCGACATTTTCCTCCTCTTTTAAAGTGCGCGTCACAGCTGGCAGGTGCAACGGCGAACACAGAGGTCCCGTCCGATGAGGCGCAGTCTGTCCGGCTCGGCCCAGCCCGGTCGAGATCGGCAGCGTTCGGTTGGGCTCGGCCCCCTGGCCCTCTACACTGTCGGCAGATGACTGCGTACATTTCTGCTCCCTTCTGCTTTAGCAAAGAGCCCAGCGCACTCACTCTGTTCCTGCCTTTTCATTATATCATGTCCATGTGACACGCTCAGGCCTCAGTCGATGGAAACTTAAAGGGACCTCCCACGTGATGGCGCGCTCACGACAGAGAGCGCGTCCAGGAGAATTAAGAAATAAGATGCAAGGCAGCAGCAACCAGAGCCGCTCGGGCTGGTTGATAACTTGTTTGGGGGGTTTGTCTGTTTTTTATCTGGAAGATTTTGCCGCTGGCTCTAATGGTCATTGCAGTAATGTCGGTCATCTCTAGTAACAGTAATGATGATGAAGATAAGTTGATGCTGCTGCTGCTGAAGATGAAAATAGAGCGTGGTGTTTTATTGTAACGACAATGACAACTGCTATAGCCAGACAACCATTTGTGGTCATGATGATGATGATTATGACAGTGAGCCTGTAAAAGTTGTGATGATGATGATAAAGAAAACCTGATGGCAGCGATGAAGATAACTACATTTGGCTGGTGAAGATAACGATGATGGTCGTGGTGATGAATGTGAGAATGATGATGATGATGATGATGATGATGGAGATAATCCTCACTGGTTATAATAAAGATGATGATGATAAATAAAATGATTATCATGATAGTAAAGAGAATCCTTATTAGACGTGACAATGATGATGAAGGTAACCTTTGTTATTCTTAATGAACAGGCTGATGCTCTTTGTTAGCTTTTTTTTCCACCAATGAGCTCATGGCCAGTATGACATCATCACAGGGTGACTAACGTTGAGGGGAAAACACCTGATCTCATATCACAGGCAGATTACCGAAACTGGATGTAAAGCTGTGTGTCTATGACAGTGGACAGAGGGACCTTTGTGTGAATCTTGCTCTATTTACACTGACTTTACATTTAGATTATTTTACATTACATTTGCATTTTGTTTATTTTTATATCCTCTGTGAATGTGTTAGCATGGCTGAATTCAGGGGTTTAAATCCCTCATTAACACATCTGACTGAAAAAGCTAATGTTGTGAATATAAACAAGGATGTTTTTGGAAGCTGAGGCCAGCAGCACGGTAGTCAGAAGACTTAAAAGTCGTAGACTTAAGAGCTGATCTGAAAAATACTTTTAGTTTTACCACAGATCAAACTGCCGGTGACCATCACCCCACTCTACCACTGAGGACCAAGAGACAAAAAAAAATCGTTTCTTCCTTGTTAATTACAGCTGAACAGCAGCCGTGCCCAGAACGGTTGGAACGACATTAAAGCTTAAAAAACTGAAGTTATTCAATAAAGTTATATTTAAAAACAAAATGAACTTTCAGTTTCACATTAAGCGATGCACCTCATCCACCTGGGTAGCTAGTCAGCGCCAGCTAAAGGCTCTAAACCAATGTTCCATAAACTGGTGGATGACTTCACTGTGGCCACAGCCATCCTTTATATACAGTCTCTGTTGCTTCTTGCCAAGGCAGCAGGGAACACTCTAACAAAGCATGTGTACAACAAACACACATTGACTCACTGGCGGCTTCACGCAGCGAGGCATTAACACTTCCTCAAGGATTTCTATATTTCACTGAAGAGTTGTTGGAAAGCAAAGGCCGAGGAACCGCAGGATAATGAATACTGGATGCGAAACAAACCTCGAGACAGTGCTAATGTTTCTCTTTGTCTGCTTAATGTTGGCTGTAACACATTATGGGCCATCACTTTATATGGTTATTCCACAGTGGTAAACCACGTCTCACTTCAGTTCCCAGTTTACATCCATGCACAGGAAACTTGACGAGCGTCCTTTTCCATTTCTAGTAAGTGGAAGTAAGGGTTTGCCAAGAGCTGGAAGCGTGCTTAAAAGACACACTGTGATCACTCTGCACACCATCATCAAGCCTGGATGGAGTCCACTCGTGGACGAGTCATCAAAAACTAACACTTTTGCTGAGATTTGAGAAAAATATTCCAAAGACAGACTGGGCCATGCCGTTTCTCATTTAGTACATCTTTATGTCTTTAAAGCATGTTTTTGCACAGATTGATTTAATTAAATTGCCATAGAAACCAATAATGTAGTACTCACTGCCTTACACTGACTTGAAGAAAACGCCTGAAACAAGACAAAAACTGCTGTTAGCTCTATTATCTCGTGTTCGCTGATCAGCTTTGGTGCGCGTGTTGTCTTTGCCCTCTGTAATGTTGGACTCTGGATAGCTGTCAGTGGGTGGGTGAATACTAAGGACAACAATGAGAGCCTAGAACTTCATCCGCGTATCAGATGTGATGCTCCGTGGTGTTGTTGAATGTTGGACTAAATTATAAACACAGGTTGATAAAGGTATCGCGTATCGCAGCTGCCACAAGGTTAGCGAGTACAGTAGATTAGGCTCAGTACATACGGCTCTTTGAAGTCTATGTGTGATGTGTGATGGAGGGACTTGGTGGCAGTCGGGACCGTGTGAAAATACCAGAGGTCTGAGGGTCTCTGAGGCTCACAGACCCCCTGTGGTTTGAATTAGAGTGGATTACAACTCTCAGCAACAAAAGACACCTCTCAGCTCCCCCTCTGTGCTCGTCTGAACGAGTGACACAGCCCGCAAAACGTGGATGCTTTTATGCAGCAAAGCCACACTGCGAGTCTAGCAGGACGTCCATCGCCGTGCGCACACTGCTAACTTTAAACTATCAGGCCGAAACTCACAATCGTTGGTTCGTTTATTTTAAGTAACCAATCTAGAAAAGATGAAGCATGAAAGATGCTGCCACATGAAATCAGCTGTTGAAGCAAAGCTTTTCATTGCCAGTTTTCACTTTTATGAACTTAATTAAAACGTTTGATTTCAAATACATCATATAACTGTTACGGTCCTGGGTCAGAGACTCAGTGTGTTATTTTTTTATTTTCATCATCATCATCATTATTATCATCATTAATATTGATCTTGCTGCCCGGTCGTGTCCCTCTGTGTTCCCTTTGTTCAGATCAAGTCTGCGTCTCTCTGTTATTCTTCCCGTCTCATGTCGGTGTGTATAGTTTTGCTTTCCCTTGTCTTATGTGTGATTCCTCCCAGCTGTGCTCTGCTCCGGTGTCCCATTCCCTGCTTATCCCTCAGAGTATTTTAGCCCTGTGTTTCGTCCTCGCTCCACGCTGTGTGCTTCTCCTTCCATGCGTCCCTGAGATTGCTGTCCGTAGTTTCCAGGTTTCCCGTTGTCTTTGTTATTAGTTTCTAGTTTTGGTTTTGTAAAATGATGCTACTGCGATGAAGCAGCCTCTTTTAGTTTATTCCTCTGAGTGTTTTGCATCCTGCCTGTCACACAGCCGTATCAAGACAATAACATCATCGCAACAATTTGTATTGATTGTTTTAGTCACCATTTAACTGTCGCTCTGGAAATGAGCTTCGATTTCTTTTTAAGAACAAAATAGATTGAAAAAATTTGAATTGCATGATAGGAAGTGCATGCTGCAACAACTGAATATCAACTCAAACCAATATGGACAATAAAACAACGTGTGAAGTGAACGGGGAACAAAGGGGGACGAGGATACAGCTGACTGATATATGCAGGGTTGGTTAATCCACAAAAGGGTTAGCTAGGCTGCCAGAGGCGAGAGCACTCACTGCACCAACTGTTTGCTACAAAACCATGTGCCGAATGAGGCCCATATGAATGCTACAGCTTTCCTTCTAAATAGGCAGGAGCTGGAACAGGTCAGCAACTGGTTTGAAGGTCACTGGTTCAATCCCCGACATTCTCCAGCCCATGTCTTGAAAGTGCCCTTGGCAAGATCCTGACATTATCCCCGGTGGAGTGTTCCAGTGTTTGTGTAACTGTTAGAAAAGCTTCTGTGTCCATGGATGAATGTGGCTCGTAGTGCAAAGTGCTGTTCGATGTTCAGCGAGAGCAGAAAAGCACTCCATATGTACAGTCCCATGCACCGCGTTATCCCCTGACAGTCACTGTCAGGCCTGAGACTTTGCTTTAAAAAAATCTTTGATAGCAACAAATTATTCTGGCACAACTTCACCTACTTCCAAGGTTCATGGAGACAAACATCGGATGACGTGAAGGCTCCAGGATACTTAAAGCAAGAGGAAACAGCTTTATCAGGTGACCAGCGCTTTCCGGGGTCTGGCCTTTAAAATCTTTGGGCAGAGCGAACCAGCCCAAACTATTCATAGATCTGGAGTGTTAGTTGGTACAGAGCGAGTATTATGATGGTATCACTTTGATCTCAGAGACTATTTTCTACACTTTTACAAAGTGTTGCTCTCAGGTCGGCACAGATATCTGTTAAAAACAAGCATCCGGTTACAGAACGTGGCTGCCATGTGACCTTTTTGAGTGTCTTCAGTCAACTGACAGTAAAATGTCCAGTTGCAGCAGAGCAGCTTGTGGTGATCCAACATAACCAGTCAAGAAAACCAGTGTTTGACGTTATGGCAGCTGTGACCAGTTGTATGTTAATTCGTGGAAGTAATTTATAGCGTTCAGCTCAAAGCAAGACGCACAATCAACTACATACTGGCTTAATGTCAAGATGAAAAAATGTCGAGTCATCTTCTTTCAAAGTGTATGCTGCAAATTAGGAGGCTGAGTAGCTTTGTCTAACCGGAATAAAGCGCATTAGTCACCAGATGACTCACCCACTCTAAGCTACAATGACTTCACATATAGTAAAACACTACGCTGTTTGAAAAGGGACACTGCTGTCTTTGTCTCAAAAAGGAAACACTGCAGTCAACTGTATGATACTATATGATCGGCTGATTATTTCTGTGGGAGTCTTTATTCTATTTATATGTATGTATTAATTTCGAAACCCCTACTTATGGATCAGGTTTAAAGAGTTTTGGGTAACTCGACTTCCAGTAGCTGTGTGTGTGTAGCTGTGTAGTGATTAGGGCTGATGTACATATTTAGGAACGGGGCTGTAGAACACATTAATGTGATGGAGGTCCAATATTGTTATTATTTTATTATCATTCGCTTTTTATGTTTTATCGATTGAAATTTACATGTTTCAGCTGGAATGATATTCGGAAAAAATGATAATTTAAAAAAATACGAGTTTTGTTACGATGAATATGAAGAGCTGACGTGATAACTGTATCGTGCAGTGTGTTCATGCTACCGAGGAGGCTTCGTAAACAACACAAATATGTGTACTGTCTCTTTAAGAGCTGTCAATATTCGCTCCTTGCTAACCTCTCGCTGTCTGTTATTTTCTGCAACAAGATGGCTGTCGCTCCCGAGAGCAGAGTCCTCACTTTCAGCGTTTTTAAATGGAGCTCTTACTCGTCTACATATTTACCTGAGTGAGTATCTTTCCCATCCTCTGGACCAGCGTATGCATTAGGTTTTGCGGTGGAAGGTGGTCTTTTGTCATCTCGGCGCACTTGTGTTTCTTCCACCCTGCGCGACTGGCCTAGCTTGTCTGCGAGCAAGCTAGCGCTAGCTACCGTGTGGGGCGTTTGGTTTCGGATATTTAGCCGCCCGATAATGATAATGTTGTTTTTCCGCTAAACGTTTGTTGCAAGCAATAGCTTACGATGTACTTTCTGTGTGATGAAATGACGCTCAGTAATTTCTGTGAAATGTGTGGGCAACTAAGGGACAGTTTCCCACTTCAGTGTAGGATATCAATTGGAGCGTTATCTCAAAACGTAAACAAAGCAACTGAATGGTGTATTCTTCTCTTATAGTTATATTATTCTAGAGTGACAACCCCGAAAACTTGGCATTGGAACACGCCCAGATTATTATTTGTTACTTCCGTTGTCACAGCTGTATAATATTTTACGCTTTGATTACGTAGTGTACACTTCGGTATCTTAATACGTGAAAAACGAACGTCCACGTTAGCTAACTGGACTCCAGAGCTGAAGTAGGCAACTAGCTGTTGTTATCTAACCATAGAGCTTTGCTTTAGCAGCTATGCTAATGAGCTTGGTTATAGGCTACCTGAAACTGTTGCAACGAAAGGAAAACTTACTTGTCGCTCACGCCAGCACCCATGTTTTAATCTAATATAAACGAAGTCACCCATAGTTCCGCGGCTTTCGCCTGTTGCTGGTTCAGCACTCAGCAAACAGTTCAGCAGTAGCTGACTTAATGCTAGTTGGCTAACAACAACAGTTACCTAAATGAGCTTTCTAACAGAATGTAGCGTGACTACAAGAAAGTAGTTTTGTTATGTGATAAATGTACTGTCATAAGCTTCCAGGACACACAGACCTGTATTCGGCCCAACCTTGCACTGCTGTCTTTCCGCGTTTTCTGCTCACTTGGTGGGATGGTATTCCACAGTGGGTAAATACTTGTCTCTTTATTTTGTTTAGGAATATCTTGGTGGATAAACCTAACGATCAGTCCTCCAGGTGGTCTTCTGAGAGCAACTATCCTCCACAGGTAGGTTCATTTCTGGTTAAGATGAGCTTTAATTTTGTTGACCTGGAACAGCAGCTGTCCATGAAAGCCGTGATTTGTGTAGGTTCATAGGGTCACAGTTCATGGGTAATTGGCTTGGCTAATTAATTAACATTAATATTTTAGAGATGGGTGCATCTTGTGAAGGTGCATAAACAGGAAACTGTGCAGTCTGCACAGAGAGGCCAATGGGATTGAGAAACCCTTTGCTTTACTGGGAATGCTCTTTGGGAAATTTTGACATTTTAAGATGGGGCATTTGAAAATATGTCAATCACACTTCTGCGTCACGTCTGTGTTATTACTGATACAATAACCAGTACTCCATTTTCCCATTTTCTGTAACCTTCTCACCAAAAAAGTAACTACATGTCAGGTCACCGTACCTCAACAACTTTAACGGTTTGGCGGGTACTTGAACGTGTCAAGTAAAATTAAGTGAAACATTCCAAAAATGATCATTAATAACAGTGTAATGTAGTCAAAGCTTAGCTGTGTTGGGAAGTTTGTAAGGGAAAATCTACCTGAAAAAGAAAGTGGAAGGTGTGGGTGCTGCCTCACCTTTGCCTTCTCTTCCTGTGTGCCCACCTTTTGTTTGTTTGTTTGTTTGTTTGTTTGTTTGTTTGTTTGTTTGTTTGTTTGTTTGTTTTAAACAGGTAACACTTGTGGGAATTCTTCCTTTGCATTTAACTTGATGGGTTTTCATCAACTTCTGTAACTCTACTTGAACACTTACATTCTTTGGCTCAACCTTGCTCCAGCTGTTGCTGGTAGACCATCATTCATCATGTCTGGTGCTTTTCCTCCTTATTATAATAATAATAATAATAATAATAATGGATTGGATTTATATAGCGCTTTTCAAGGCACCCAAAGCGCTTTACAATTCCATTATACATTCACTCTGTTAGACTTATTTTTCTTGCAGGTGTGAATTCTCAACAGTTTATGCCGTTTGTGTTTTACAGTTTAATAAAAATGAATCCAATGCTGTTCAGTAGAACTATTAATGTTTATTTACACAGTGTTGTTTTCTAACTGAATGGTAAAGTCATGTGTAAAGCATATCTATGCTTTCAGTTGTTTGGGGGGGTTGGCCTCGCTTACAGTGTCTTGCTGGGCTTGTTTATATTTGAGTGCTCAGTACATGGAATATCTCAAGGCTGACCTTGATCTGCCTGAATGTAACATGGTTTTAAGTCAGGCCTCAGTTACTCAAGTTGATGTAAGAGTAGTGAGTGGATTAAAAGCTTCTCAGCAAGTGTGAATGTGCCTAAATGTGATATTTTAAAAAAGTCAGTTATACACAAACTAACTGAAATAATAATTCAAAGGGTTGGACAAAGATAAGAAACATTAAGTGAATGTTTGTAATTCATAGTAAGGAGATGAGATGCAGCTCTGTCATCAGTTTTTACTTTAGGTCCAACAAATGTATCAATGTTAACAAAAAGGACGTTTATTTTGTCGATTACAAATAAGATGATAATAAAAAAGTGAACAGGAATTGTCTTGATATAAGAAAAACCTAAAAAAAAACCCAAATAGTAAAGTTTTAATACCAGATGAGACAAATATGACATTTTTGGCAAAAACGATTCTATGTTTGGGCAGAATGAATGCCAGTATCTAAATTTCGCATGTGAAGCATCATGGTCTGGGTCTATTTCAACTAGGGCTGTGCGCTATGACCAAGATCTCATATCCCGATAGAAGACATTTATCGCCCCGACAACGGTATATGTATCACAAAATTTCACATTTTCTGTAAATTCTGCGGATCTCAGGCAGCTCGACTTGTGCAAAGTGTTTTCAGCTGGGCGTCGTGTAGCTGGAGTCGAGTGTTTTGACTGTAACGGCCGCCATTTTCTTTGTATTTACTACAAGCGTGCTCTAACCTTTGAGTCTGAGGTTTATTTTGAGCACCTGACGGCTCTTTGTTGCTTCTCATCCGTAAACTCCCTCACATGATTCTTGCGTAGGTGTCAGAAAAGGTTTGTCGTGTTTGAGTCTGAGGTAGGGCTGTTCGATATAACGATATATATATCGGGATATGAGATTTTGGTCATATCGCACAGCCCTAGTCTGAGTTGGGGTTCGTTTTCCTGCATAATTGTACAGTTTTCTGGTCCGTGTCAGACATAAACAAACCATATGTTACAGAGGGAGCCCCTCGTTTAGGAGTAAGGTTAGAGAACTTTAAGGAATGAAT